AGTTAATCATCCTCCCCAAGTGACCAAGTGAGATTATCTCCATCTATCTACCTGCCTACAGTATCTATCTCACTCAGCATCAATCTGTCTCCCTCCCTCTCCATCTGTCTCTCAGGTCTGCCTCTCTGGGTGTGCGTGCATCTGTGTGTGAGATAAAGATAGAGAGAGAGAGCGAGAGAGCGAGAGAGAGAAGCCTGGCAGAAGCACAGTAGCGATCAGCTGTGCTGATTCATGGTTTTATGAGGAGCCCCGCCTACCTGGCTGAAATTCAACCGAAATGAGCCGAAAGCCAAGATATCAGTCCTCTGGCCACATGGTGGCTTGTATTAACCTCTCTAAGTAAACACAGGCACACATGCCAAAATAAACGCCAACACCGTGACTGGCTAAACTGTTTCTATGTGCAGTTCATGCACACAAGTCTGCCCAGCAACATCGTTATTATAGTCTATGTACTTCTTATTAAACGATCCTAAGATGTAAAATAATACTGCTTTCAAGATTACGGGGAGGCGTATGGAGAGTGACTCAAAACTGTGATGAAGCTTTGTATGAAGAGCTGTAATTATACAATCTGTGACACTTTTCCCTCTTTGTGTGTACTGTGTAATACACTCAACAAAAAGGTGTTTGTCTACAAAAGTGTATTTTAGTCAGGTCCTCTGTGTAAACCTATCTGACTGATCGATACACACAGATGGTCTGTGAGCCCGGCGCTGTAACTTGAACCGACATGGGGAACGAGTGAAGGAGCTTCATTGATTTACTGCGGTTGACCTGAAAGCAATTCTGAATCCATCTCCAACATCAACTCAGCCAAAACCCATCAAAAAAACAGCACATATGTACATCAGTGCACATTATGAAAGAGGTGCTCCTTTTGTCTTTAGTTAGAAGATAAAGGCGTACTGTACTGTGAACTCAATTTATTATATTTAAATTAAATATAATTTGATTTAAAGATTATCTGTGTCAATTATGCAAAACTTGTTTTTTTTAAAGATGTTTTTTAAGCTAGGAAAAGCCAGAGACTCCATAATTTATGAAGGGACGAGTAAACTAAACTGGGGTAACGCACACACAACAAAGTAGTAGTCTAACGGCACGAATGCATCTTAACTCCTAAAAGAGGATTAACACCAGCAGGCTCTTCTCGGGCCTCGGTGACCTCACTCTCACACAGCAGAACCGAAAACATCCTTCAGCAGCTCTGCGTTCACAACACTGCTGAATCAGCAGTATACAGGAGACCCCAAAGCAGCCGGGTCTCATCTGGGTCATTTCTTAACCTCCGTGTTAACTTCTGTTGCACTTGCCAGTCCTGATGCATTAACGTCTCCGTCTCGCCCTCATCCTCCCTACGTCATATCTGCAGCGCTTCATAAAAGATTATCTGACTATATCTATATATAAATCCAGCAGTATCATCGATGGAGATGAGACTTATTGGATGAGTTTATCTTAAGTGTGTTGTGGCAAAGGAACAGACACACATTCACATATGCCGCCCTCCAGCAAAACATGGATATTTTTAACCCGTGCATCCCTCTTGAGGTAAAAGCCTGTCTTGTCAAGCGGAAAATAAAATCCAAAAAGCAATGCCTCTCATCTCTGAAACAGCATAAAAAACAACATCTGTGCAGATACATGCATGGAAATAGCTGTAACACACTTAACAGAGAGCAAGAACACCCCGACATGAAGTGCATCATGTGGAACAATAACTACTTCACATAAGAACGAGTTGGGGGATAAAATATGACAATCAAGTCACCTTTAGTCATATTTAAAAAAAAAAAAAAAAAGCAATTTAGGATTTGTTTCACCCCATACATCATATACTTTAATACTATATCATCATTGAATATTATCAACCTCTATACTTGTAAAGATAAGTCACAGATGATAAAAGAAAATATATTCGTTTTCCCTCCATTTAGTAATAATGTATCATCAGTTACCACGTTGTATTAGCCATTGCATTACTTATTATAATTATATATTATAACCGCGCCTTAATTAAGAGACCATTTAGGAAAGCGTGAGTTCTCCTAAATAGTAAAAAGTGTGCGCTCTCTTATATCAGACTAATAACGTGCATCCTCATTCATTTTAACAAAAACAACTCGCGTGACGAAAACCCGTCGCTGCCTCCGCTGATACGGATCACTTGTGATTTATGGGGACTACTGGGCTTAATTGTGCGATATATAGGCGATATAATTTTTATGTGCTTCAACAAATCATCGTGTAAGTATCGCTTGGCACTAAAGCAGAATACCACTTCAATTTCCAACTTTTTTAATTTTTTTATTTAATTAAACCGTACGAACAGTTGTTGGCTGCGTCGGGCCAACGTGCCGGGGCATTTAAACAATCTGTGTATGAAAATGGCGCCGAATAGTGCAACAACACAAATAAACACCAACTCATCCCCGACGCCCGAGGAACATACATCTTCATGTGAGGCTTACCTACTGCGGGATTAGCATCAATGTGGAAGCAAACAGCTCAAAATCAGACAAAATCCTGTATTCCGGCGCGTTCAGAGCAGAAACAATGTAGCGGAGCGACACATGCTTTGTTGTGCTGAAGGTGTCCGATGCTCGTAAAGGGGTGGAGTCTCCCTCCGAGGACTCTAGTTGACCAACTGAGCGCCGACCAGCACGCCTCACAACCGCATGTCGGGGTGGAGGAGATGGGCAGCAACTTTCATTATGATGCTGAGGAGATCTGAACTAAACACAAGGCTTTGTTTATATATGTTAATATGCTGCAGCAATCTAACCTTTAAATAAAAAACTACAGTCATCCACAAGCATTCAAATCTACAGATAATGGACAGATTTATATTTGTGTCAGTACTTTTAGAATTAAAAAAAAAAAAAAAAGGGTTTTACATTGTCAAGTACATTCAGAACTCATCGCTATGTCGGTACAACACATTATGCCTCGTCCCAAACAGACATGGAGTAGGGCGGACCAAAGAGTGCAATCATTAACACAGTGCAATGTCCAGAAGCATATTCCTCAGAGTCCTGCCCTCTTTTCAGGCACCAACGTGGTGTGTTCGTCTGAACGGCACGAGGGTGTCAGGACTACAACCCTGAGCCAGTTGGTGAGATATTACAATAAGCAGTTACAAATTTATTAGGAACTGAAAATATGTCCAATCGATCCCCCCCCTCAACCATCTTATCTACAAATCCAAAAACAAACCAGCAACACACACACACACACACACACACACACACACACACCCGCTCACGTGCACACACATACACACCAGCAGTCTTTATGGACCCGGGCATGGTCCCCACCCATCTGCCTGACCCCATTAGGCCCATACGGCTCTTATGCAGAAGGGGGGGGGAGTAAAGGGGTTCATTATTCTCACAGCTAAACGGGGTAAGTCACCATCACCTTTGTCTCACAGAGGCAAGTTCGTGTGGCATGCACAGCAGCGTCACATGTGTTTTCTGGGCAATTTATTTGAAGGAAAAAGTCTTACTAGCACACAGATGATTCAGTACATCGTGTCATAAAGTCCAAAAATAGGTATTACGGTAAAAAAGGTATTAAGACGCAAGGGAGACACTAAACCACAGAAACAGAAGATTTCTCTCTTGCACAGTAACAGTCGGTTATCGTGTTCTTCATACTTTGATCACTGAACACAGTGATAACACATAAACAGCACAACAACTGGCACGATCAAGTCAGATAATAGAGGAAGAGCGAGGGAGAGGACCAAGGAGTGCATGAACTACTCGCGTAGCCTTCAGTTGCTTAGGAACCCCCCTGCCCTGCCCTGTGCCTATACTGCAGGGAGCAGGTGTTGAGCTGGACCCAGGAGAGGGAGGAGAGACAGGACTGAGAGGGGAGGAGACGAGGAGCAGCACTTACAGACCCACAGTCCCTTGAGACAGTGACAGACTGCAACCACAGACTCAGAGAAGACCCACTCGCACAGTAGACACACCCAAAAACACAGACGCACACTTTCTGTTTCCCCCGGTCGCTCTTTCTCATTTGTTCAAAAGCACGGGCAAAACACACGCACATGGAGCCACGGTGCAGTGCATTACTCCAGCTGAGTGCGTGGGGGTTATGTTTGTTTGGAACAATCTTTATCCCTCTTTGGCTCCATCACTCAGTGATTATATAATGTCCCATACCCCTTCTACCAAAACATCTCTCTTTGACTTCCAATGCTGCATCCGAGTACGCATCACACACACACACTCAAGCAACACGCCGCCTTACCTCCCGTATCGTGTGTAAAACAACTCGCGTAGCTTTGAATATGCTTCAAATATGAATTGTGAGTGCATGTGATGGAGGCATGGTTGCAGGGGGGTTTTATTTGTTCCCCGGGAGCCGAGCTCTCGAGAGCACTAACGGGATTGATGGTAACAGCGCATCAATATTCATAGTGCACCATTATGTTATGAAGAATTCATGAACCAGGAATGTTCCATGTTTCTGCCAGCAGACATCCTTCTTGTCTTGGGCCAAGTTTGAATTCTCACCTTCGTGCACATCTTAGAAAATTTAAATTACACAGCGGGATGGTTCCTCAAAGGGGAAGAGTCGGGACATTATGTTTTAGATTCATAGCATCATGTGCTAGAACTTAATACAGAGAATATGTCAGCACTTTAGCAGCTAGTAAAACTGCCATAAACATTTGCATCCAGAGACAATGCTAAGCGATGAGCCAGATTGGAAATGAAATGCTTATATTATGCATGCACTTGGATGTCATCTGAGATATCTTTAAAAGAAGCAGCACCAAGCCCTGGAGCTCACGGTACGTTGAACAGATTGTGGCGGACATTCTAGGCCACCTAAGTACATGCTGAATTGTGTTTGTGATCATCTGATGCTACTGTACATGGCTGCGCTTTCTTAGTTTACACTGCCACCCAGTGGAGATGCAAATGAATGAACTCTCCATAAGCATGTGGCTGATTTGACTCAGTCTGACAGGTTTGCAGTAAAAACTGGCCAAATGTGAATTTCACAAAGAATATCTCCACATATTAAACATTGCACTGCAGTAATAAATACTATATCTCCTCTACACTATATACAGTGCAATATTGCTATAAATATGTGTACTTTAAGTTACATAATAAAAACACTCACATGGTGAAATATCAAATAACTATTTCAACGTTAACTATTTGTTGCGAGGGAGAGGGAATCCCCGCCAATACTCCTCTACGTCAGCACAGAGGGGTAAGGCATGCTGGGAGCATGTGTTCATGAGAGATAAAGACGTGTTTGTGTCCAGTAGACTCGGGGTGACATGGTCACACTACCCCTCCCAAAACTAGTTTGGTGTGGGCACCAGCAGGTTACCAACAGCAGTGTGCGGTTATTTCAGTAACTAAAGCTCTTCACAATCTATTCTTCAGATCTGTTTGACGCTGAACAAGATGTCGCACATTTCTCTTTCAGAAAATAATGTGCAACCTTTTTCCACACAAATAAAGAAAGAATGGAGGTAGAGACGCATTTTAACACGTAGAAGATACAGAGTCTTCACTCAGATCCCAGAGGGGCTGTGCATGTCAAATAGAAATCATGAATAATTCATATGTAATAGTCTCTATAAGGACTGATGACTTAATTGAATCGTTGCATAAATATAAATGAAATGCTTCTCCGCAGCTGAGAGCAGGATTTCTTGATTATAATTATACTCTGCATTACCTTTAAATCATATTGTGGTACATTAAGGGGGGATTTGTTCATATACATATATATTAAGGTAAAATAATTGTTACTCTGTCAGTGCAATACCCTCCAAATGAGCAACATTGATGAGCGAGACACCAGCTCAGATGTCTTTGTTACGCTTCAATACTTTTTTCATACAACTTAAGTCAGTGCTTGGTACTCACGTCAATATAGAAGGTCATTGTAGATGGCAGGACAATCCCAGACCAGGTCAGAAAGAGAGGGAAAAAGAGTGCGTCAATTCAGTAGTATACTTATTTTAAGTATGTGACATATAATAGAAAGTTTACACAAATTAATCAGAGAGATGGCAGCACATATAGTCAAGGAGATGTACAGTCCACTGCTGAACGTACGTGGTGAATACTGCACATAACAACTCAGAAAGTATCACACAGCTGATGGGCCTGAATCACAACATGAATAGATATTTGAAAGTATAGCATATAGCCTAATGCTAGCATCCAGAACCAGTGTATGCAGCCAGGTTACAGTTGACCCAAATCAGTTGTTCAAGTATAAAATACTTCTGTTAACACTGGTTTTCCTCTAGATTTCTACATCTGTTATCAGCATAATAAATATACCAATACGATGCACCTACTTCCTCGAGGATAACCTACCTGTTTAGCTTGTGTTGTCTTGTTTATGATAATCAAGCTAGGTATGCTTTATAAAGTATCTGTCCCTAAGTCTCTGGGCTCGTGAGGGCAACCTCGCAACAAACCTTTGGCAGACATGTCTGAAACTTGCCGGAATACACTCGACAGACTACAAGTAGGCTAGGAGTCCTGTTTCTTATTTACGGGTAGGCTAACAGCACAGACATTTCTGACCTCGTCGTGCTGGACATAATCCCTCTAAATACGGAGCAATGAAATCTAAACGAACTGCCGCCCGCCGCGTGCAGACGGGAAATGTAAAAAAAACTCGCAGAAAAAGGTGTGCAAATGTAAACACAACAACAGCGTCTGAGTAGGCGAGTCATACCTGAGCGGACGGATGTCTCTTCTGTTGAGTTTCCTCCACCTTTAGTTTGTTGCCATAATTCCGGTGTTTCCGTACAGAACAAGTTACAAGCTCACCGGGCCAGGTCTCCACAGAGAGGCGGTGTCGCAGCTACAATGACGAAGCACTTAGTAGTGATGGGTGGAGATCAGAGGTGGGAGCCTCGCTTCAAAAAACAGGGTTGGGAAAGTGTCAGCATCAAAATATACCTAAAGTAGGCTACCAAAAGTAAAAGTACTCATTATGCACAATAGCCAAATTGGGTCATAATCACTGATGCATGTTTATAATGTTGCAGCTGGTAAAGGTTGAGCAGATTCTAACTACGTTTTATACTACTGGGTAGCTTAATCTATACATCACCATTAGTTAGTTCATAATATTTAGTATTAATAATCGGAATACACAAAGTAACTAGACTGCCTCAACAGAGATGGGTATGCACTTAAGAGGGAAGAGAATAGTGTTCATTTTGGCACAAAGGGTTCCTTATCGAAATGTCACCTCAGTGCGAAACAGGTGCAGCTCTTCTGCTGTATATTTTTGGCTGATTAGTTTCAGTATCAGTTTCTGGGCATCAGAGGAATGTTTGGTCAGCGATTAAGCGTTTGTTCAACAACTGCCTACTTTGTGCCAGTTCTACAGTGACCGCGGTCACAAGCAGTGTGATATCAGCAAAGTCACAGTCACTTCCCCTTTATCTGGAACTAAACTGTTAGTGGTGTATCCACACTGGGGCGCTGTTGCGTGTGTGCATGTATGGAGGTGGAGTTGCAGGTAGAGACTACTGTTATTATTTATTTTTAGGACACACTTTGCAAAAGAGTAGACATACTTACAGTCGCCAAGCAACTAAACATATGCTAATTACTAGAAATAGTTACTGTAACAAGTAGCTCTTGAATACATATGAACCAAGGATTAACAATTGATACTGTGGTATTGATTGGTTCCTTCATGTTCCTGGTTGTAGTGGAAGTAAAAGGTGACTAATCATTACTTCCATGTTAGATTACATAGTAACTAGTACAAAGGTACTATTGTTGTGCCCCCCTAAAATAAAATGATAAAAAGATAATGTTCCACTCCTTTCAAGGGGGGGGGGGGGAAGTGCAGGAGAAAGAATAGAGTAGAAGAGTAATTTAAATATTTTTAACAAGGTAATTTTTGGGGGGATAGCGTATATCAGACCCAACTTATTATTCCAAGAGGAGTGTTTTTTTTTACATGTTTTAAAACATGTGTAGAAGGGATCATTTAAAAATGCATTGTAAATGCATGGTGGCCTTACCATAGCTTTCCACCTGTGTGTCCCCTCAAGTATAAAGTCATGTATCAAGTGTGCGAGGTCGACACACTACTCATAGCTATTGCAGTGTGAATTCCCAAAAGGCGAAGCACACTTACAAAGCAGCTGCTACAGCCGAAACATCTGTCAACATCTGTGTTACCTAAAATCCAGTGGCCAGTGTTGGCACTGCCCAAGTAAGTTATCCAAATATATCTGTACTTAAAGGTGTATTCCATCGCATTAGTAGGGCACCTGCATAACGTTGGAGGATAGGCCAACCTCCTACACTTCCCACAGGCAATTCAATAGTGTCTTTCTTTCTTTCGTTCGGGTAGGATGGATGGATAGATGGATGGATGGATGGATGGATAGATGGATAGATGGATAGCAGTACCAATACAGTATACTTCCATTCAACTTTCACAAGCATTATCATTCTCACACTGAGGAAAACACCTCTCATCCATTATCGTGCTGAGCAGCCCTGATCCACCCAGTGTGCTTAACTTCACACACTTTACTCCAACCTTCTGGATGAAGATAAGAGCAACTGTCACCACACGCCAGTTCATTCTGGTGAATGCATAGCTCGACACAAGTGTGTGGCTACTGAAAACATTTTGCCCCCTGGCGCATGTCTCTATAATTGTTTCATGCAGGTATTCTGCGATAATAAAAGAAAGAACAGAGATAAATGGATATGTACTATATTGTATATGTGTTCATAGACCTGCTCATATGTCAATTTTGCATCCAAAGAGACAATTTAATGTCATCTGCACGACCGTTTTGAAACCAGAGGCTGTTTTTATAGTTTTGTGACTTTATAAATGTTTTCGTGTCTCCACGGGTTTTTATCATACAGGATATTGTTATTGTTATTTATAACACAGCGCATACAGTTAAATGTTCTATCTGAACAATGGAGCTGAGTTTGTGTCAGTCCCCATAGAGCGCAGCGTGTCAACCCCATTATGTTTTACCAGGAAGAGAGCAGCACAGGGAGGATAACTACAGTCCTCTGTAGGAATAAAAGCTACTCGGCGACGGATAGACTGAAGTTATGACTTTAATATGGCGGATAAAGGTCCTTTTTTAACTTCATGTATTATTTTCTACCTATCGATCGGTGCCGCAATATTCCAAATTCTCGAAGAGCCCTACTGGGAATCATCCAGAGACGACTATATCCTTCAAAAGGAAATGATTTTGAAGAAACATGCCTGCCTAACAGAGGAAGGTCTGGGTGAGATTTTGGAGGTAGGAATCTGTTTTTGATTACAGACAAAACAAATCCCACGGCTGTTAATAAACATGTCCATTTATCCTTACATCTACTTTCTGTGAGTAAGTTTGCGGTGGTTGACCAACAAAGAGCTCCCAACAACTCTCATAAGTTATTGAAAGGGTGAAAGGGAAGCTCGTCGCCTTTACATGTCAGGACAACACAGAACCTGTTTTTCCTGATTGAGAACCACATTCTGGTCGAAGCGAATTATCCAACAACAAAACGACTCAAATGCTTTAAAACGACTCAAATGCTTTCAGTGTTCAGTGTTCGTGTTCGTTACATCGCATAAATAGTTGCGAGCAGTCGTGAGTTAAACTCGGGGGCATGGTGGTCAGCGTGAACGAGCATGTCTCCAATTACGCCGCAAATATTTGCATGTCTGCGAAAGGTGTGTCCGCGTACAATGGCTGGATAAATTGTGCTGTTCATTTTGAATAAGCCACAATAAACGTTTTCGATAGCTTTGTAATCGGCGTCGTTTGCTCTCCCAGATAGTGTCAGATGCTGTCGGCCGAGGTGTGACCATCACCGGAGACAAACACCGTAACTCGTGGGACTGGGCCAACTCTGTCATCTTTGCCAGCACCATTGTCACCACCATAGGTTTGTATGACATCTACAATATTTTGACATTTAATTCACAAGTTATTTATTTATTTATTTACTTTTGTTTATCTGTGAGAGATTACTATTGTTGCCATTTCATAAATGGATTAAGCAAAGATGAAAATGCAGGAAAAAGCTCAATACTCAATAAGATGAATAATTTATGAATGCTTTATAAGTTGATCATGAAGAACAAAAACAAAACTTTTGTTTTTCTCTTGAAATCATCTTGAAACTCATGGCCCTGATTAATGAATTACTAAAATCTGGCTTACAGTGTTTGTTTTTTTTAAAGAACAAAGAGAGAAGCCATTGTAAATTCATGGCTTTGTAAATTAATTATTTGCAAGTGATCAAACAAATAGATCTTCCTGCAAAATGAATAACTACGCAAGCTAAAAGGACAAAGCATCTAATGCTAGAGGATGATATCTAATAGCCAGATTTTTTTCAACCTGGCAACCAAAATGCTATCCATATTACTTTATTTCACACCCATAAAGCGTTGACACATTACTTACTAACAATTAATAAAGTCAAAACTTACTTTGTATGAACCTTTACAAAATATGACTTCTATCTCTCAGAGTTGTGCCTTCATATTTCCTCTTGTAATCTACAGGTTATGGTAATGTTGCTCCCAAGACTAAAGGAGGTCGTCTGTTCTGCATCCTGTATGGTCTGTGTGGGATCCCCCTGTGTCTGGTGTGGATAAGCACCTTGGGCTCATTCTTTGGAGACCGTGCCAAGCGTCTGTCCCAGGTTCTGATCCGTAAAGGCGTTTCAGTGGTAAGAATCTGACTGAAAGCTGGAATTTGTCTGAATACTGTATTGAAAGGCAGCTCCCATCAAGTTATTTTCACATTATTGTTTCCTTTCTCCGTCCTGTCAGAAAAAGGTCCAGTTAACCTGTACAGCCTTGTTCCTGTTATGGGGGCTGTTGGTGCACCTGGTGATCCCTCCATTTGTTTTCATGTCTATGGAAGGATGGAGCTACCTGGATGGCCTTTACTTCTCTTTCATCACGCTCACAACAGTTGGTTTTGGAGATTATGTGGCAGGTAGGTTTTATTTCAGAGAGTTCGTGTATCCTCTGAGGTTATTTGTGAGTCTGTTGCGTTAAGTTCTTTGTTATAAAAGTCACCCAGGTGCATCGACTCTCGTTTCAGGTGTAAATCCAAACATGGTTTACCCCAGACTGTACAGGGTGTTTGCAGAGTTGTGGATATACATGGGCCTGGCCTGGCTTTCTCTGTTCTTCAGCTGGAACGTCCACATGGTTGTGAAAGCTCACAAGGTGCTAAAGAAAAGAAGACACAGGCACAGACGCCTCTACGAGGAACCTGAGCCTGTAGAGAAGCACAAGCCAGACGTCAGGCCTTCCGTTATCGACATCTTCAACTTCCTATCAGAGGAGGAGGAAGACTACAGCACTGTCATCAAGGAGATTGGAGCAAACACAAGAAAGCCTGCAGCCAACATAAACCGCTCTAAGAGCTGCAGTGACATCCTGACCACCAACATCCAGACCCTGGATCACTCGCCTCGGCACAGACGTATGATCAGCATCAGTGAAGTGTTCGTAAATGCAGAGCCTGTCGTGGACGAAGGCGAACGTGAGTTCCGTCCTATAATACAAGAAAGCAACGAAGACCCGGAATCGGCAGAATGTGCAAGGACGAATGATGAGGAGAACAAGGACAGTTGTGTACTTGATTCAGAAAGGCATGGTATCTTTTTCACTGTATCAAAAGTAAAAGATGCCACGGAAGAGGAAAGTGTACAGGATCCTGGTGGTGGAGGGTCTAGGTTTACGATATCCAAGGAGAACAATTTGTTAATGGTTAAAGATGACAAGGGATAAAAGATCCTTTTCTAAAACTTCCAATACCTTTACCAAATTGTGGAAATAGTCACCGGTGTTGTGTGAAATACTTTTATATGAAAATATTATGGATACTGGTATGTGTGTTGAAAACAAACATTTTGTTAAAATGATACTAAATAAATATTCAACAGTTTCCTGCTTTACACACACAATGAGTCAGTGTCTGGAGTGGGTAAATATTCCTCTTCTGCAATTGAGGAATCAAGATTTTATTATTTCCATCCCATATCAATCCAAATCATATTTACATTTCTATTCTTTAGCAGTTGTGAGTACACATAATACACACATTATTTAAAATCACAACACAGGGCTTTGTGGAAAACACTGCCAATTAGCAACTTTCCCTCATAGGGAGCTGCTACAGAGGAGCCCATGATCACATGGCCGTTATCAACGTACTCCTGGCTCACAACTGGCTGATCGGAGTGAATGTTCTGGATCCGGATGACCTGGAGGAAACAGGAATAAAATGATCAGGCCACCTTCCTGCCTGGTACGGTCACCTTAATAACTGTAGTCTCGCATAGCTGTGTCAGTGATAAAGAAACACCGCAGCTATTTCTTTGAAACAGTCACAATCGTCTTGGGCGACGCTAAGCAAAGAATGCAGTGACGGTGCCCTTGCACAATACATAGTGCAGATAGTGGAGGGGAGGAGATCCTCCACCAATGGCAGACTTATACCTATACAGTCTACATCCGGTGAGTCAGACAACCTAAACTGTAGATCAAAGAATACACTTTCTAGGCTTGTGTCATTGGCAAGCAAAATAGTTGGCAATCCCAAACAGCCCTTTTAAATAGAATAGGAGAAGAACGGACACCCAAATCAAAGTAGCAGGATAGTAGGAGTGGCGGCCATTTTTATGTATACCATGGCTATTGCGATCGTTTGTGTCACAGCGTAGGAAAGTTAATTTCTATTGCCAGATGAGTGACAACTTTGTTCAGTTAATTTTCTGTAACCAGTGTAGCATTAAAGCATGGTGAAATTAGCAGGCTAGCTAACTAACTAGCTTATAGCTGGCTAGTTAGCTAATTCTGCCATGCCTCCCGGCGAGCTGCAACACCAATTTACGGCCTGTGTTGTCACCATAACAGCTAACAACGATTGCCATTTTCTTTTGTTCTAGTGTAATGACCATGGAAAACAGTTTTACTCCTTTTTTTATTTATGTGATCCTGGCAGATTAATCCCATTCTCTCCTCAGCCAGTTTGAGCTCTTGAGCTCCGGGAGGCACTATATAGAGCACCTTACCTTTGGCAGCTAAAAATGTGAAGTCCTTCATCGTGCCATCAATACTCTTAACACAACAAAGTGACTGAGAAGATTCAAGCCACAGATATTGACCTGATTTAATGTGTGATAAAGCTTGTATTTGTGTTTTATTAGCTTCTTATCTGCTTTATACGTTGTCGTTTCTTGTGCTTGGTGAACCGAAGACAAATTTCCACCCTAGTGGACAATAAAGACATATTCTATTCTAAATTCAAATAACAACGCTGACACAAAACACTAACCTCGGAGCCGGGCGGATTTTTAGGGTCAAACATTGACAACTTCATGCCATTTGGGTGACAACCCAGCCATATGTCACCCGTCTTGTGGTCCACCTCAATGTTATCACAGAGTGACCCAACAGCTACAGACTGGTGGGAAACATTACATACAGTAAACTGAAAATGACATTCTGTCCTCTAAACAAACAGAAACAAAGTGAAGAATAAAGTATGAACAAATAAGTTGTTTAGGATTAAAAAGCAAAGTAATAGTATTGTTGAAATAAATAGTTTGACATTTTGGGACACACAATTTATTTCTCGGAGAAATTTTAATGAGATGATTGAAGGCAAATAATTATAATCCACAAGATGTCAAACCACTTCTTTAATACATTTGTTTTTTGGCTGAGGGTAGAAAATAAGAAAACACTGTATTACCTTAAGGTGCATTAATTGCTCTCCTTCTTTTCTCTCATAAACGTCAATCAAATGTCCCATGATATCTGAAACATAAATATACCTGTAATGAAAACAAAAACATTCCTGTTTTATTATTTTAGCATTGCAGAGGAAACATATTTCTCAGGAAACACATTCAGGTTAAAATAACAGACATGCAATGACTGCTGAAATGAATTGAGAATAACCGTTTGTTAGGTGATATGTTGATGCCATTTGCGGACAGAAAGCCATCGGCTGCCACCCTCACTTCCTTTGGACTGTAGTATACCACATCACACCAGGGGAGACCCAGTATGACAGTCACAAAGTTGAGCACATCATTGGCAAAAGATTGATGATTGGTCGCATAGAAGCTCTCTACTCCGACTGCAACGATGTCATTTACACTGAAAGACAACGATGAATGAGATAAAAATCATACAGAGATTGTCAAATGTAAAATGTGTGAGGCTGTCAAGGGTGTATTATACAGTCGTACATACCTGTGGAGTAAAGGGTGGGTAATAGTTTTTAGGTGTACAAGTGTGTTCTCCTCAACAAAATGAAAGATCTCCACTTGGCTTTTATGCTGAGGGTGATTGACAACAAACAGGTACACAGAGTCATCTGCAAACAAACAGCAATGTGTTGTGTGTTGTCATTATTATTTCAGTCCTGGTTAATTTGGTGACACATTTCAGATGAACAATCACAGTCGACGGAAACCTCTGCGACAAGTACAGTACGTTTCCTGTGGCTGCTTCACAATAAAAGCGCCCCGTGTCGATGTCTTGTAATGTGAAGTGGAGCATGTTGGTTAGCATTAGCAGTAACTTAAGACGTCTCTGATATGGCTGTAAGAGAGTAAACAGTTAACAGCGAGTCTGATATCAATGAGATCAAAGTGCACACGGTAACACTGGATTACATACTGCATTCCTGTGAATCTAACCCCCTGGGTTAGGTAAAGTTAGAAAGATATTGACAGATTCGGACTTCCCGGTTCAATAAATCGTTAACGAAACGTTGCTAAAATACAAACGATACCTCCCTGTAACCGTAGTGAGGTAGACAACAAGCTACAACCTTAATTGAATTAAAACGGGCCGTCTTACGGACTCCTCCGAGCTGGACAATCTGCATTGGTCTCAATGAGCGGCCGGCTGCGAGACGAGTGCGCAGGGACCGTCTACAAAGTGCAATGCGGAAAATACCTACTA